CATCATTGTTTGAGTCCACAATGCTCTCTGGATGTAGCTGAAGTACAACTCCAAAACTCAAGGTCAATACCCACCAAAACCTCCCAGTATTTCCTGTTGGTGAGGGGAGTTCTGTGTGCAAAGTCTAGTTCAATTCCATCGTTGATGGAGTTCGGAATGCTTTTTGATTGTAGGTGAACTATAAATCCCAACAACTACAACTCCAAAATGACAAAATCAATTCCCCACCATTATTCAAATTTTGGGTGAATGGGGCATTTGTGCCAATTTTGTACCAAAATATCTGTATTACAGATATTTACACTAGTTTTGAAGTAGCAACAAAAATAATTTTACGGTGGGGGGTCACCACAACATGAGGAACTGTATTAAGGGGGCGCAGCATTAGGAAGCTTGAGAAACTTTGTCCTAAGTAAGTAAGTAAGGCAAGAGCAAGAGAGAAGCCGGCAGTTCCGCCTATTCCCGGCAGGGGGCGGAGGCGAGCCAAGCTTTGCCAGTGGGGCTGGCTGCCCAGGGAGCGGGCAAGTGACAAGCCAGCGAGGCGGAGAAGGCGCGAGAGCGCGCTTTTGGAAGCAGAGCGGGCGAGGAAGGAAGGAAGCCGAGGGAGGCCAGCGTGGGTCCAGTGCAGCCGAGGCGAGGCAAGGCAAGGCAAGGCAAGGCAAGGCGCCGGGTCCGCTCTCCGCGCCGCTTCCTTGGATGTTGGAGTGGGCGAAGAGGAGCCAGGTCAGGAGGCATGCGGCAGCTCCGGCCGGGCGGCGTCGGGCAGAGGAGCCCGGCTTCCCTGCAGCCCTTGGCTCTCCTCCTCCTCCTCCTCCTCCTGCTACGCGCGCCCAGCTTGGCAGCAGCCCCTCAAGGTAAGCCGAGCACAATCAGGATGCCCTCCCTTCCCCACATCTTGCGTGAAGTTGGGCGATGGCTTTGGGCTGGGCAGGCACGTTTCTTTGCCCACTTGGAAGGCAGCCCTGCCTTGGAGAGGTTCTTTGTGGTGGATTTCCCAATAAAAGTGTCCCGTGCGCGGAGAAGGAAGGGAGCGGGGCGTGGAAAGAGTGCCTCTGAGCACGCGCAAAGTGCCTTTGAGTTCGCAAGATGCGCGAGAGTGCCTCTGAGGATGTGCTCCGACTTTTTAGGAGTGTGTGAAAATGGGCAGAGTGCCTCTAAGCATGTGCAAAGTTAGTCTGAGCATGTGCAAAGTGCCTCCCAGTTTGGAATGCATAAAGAGGACAAGTGCCCCTGAGCATGGGCAAAGTACCCTCTGAGTTTGGAATGCATAAAGAGGACAAGGTGCCGCTGAACATGGGCAAGTTTGGAATGCATAAAAAGTACAGAGTTACTTTGAGTTTGGAATGCAAAAAGAGGACCAGGTGCCTCTGAGCATGGGCAAAATACCCTCTGAGTTTGGAAGGCATAAGGAGGACAAGTTGCCTCTTGGTATGGGCAAAGTACCCTTTGAGTTTGGAATGCAAAAAGAGGACAAGGTGCCTCTGAGCATGTGCAAAGTATCCTCTGAGTTTGGAATCCATAAAAAGTGAAAAGTTACTATGAGTTTGGAATCCAAAAAGAGGACAAGGTACTTCTGGGCATGTGCAAAGTACCCTCTGAGTTAAGAATGTATTGCCTCTAAGCATGTGCAAAGTAGCTCCGAGTTAGGAACGCATTAAGAGGACCTCTGAGCATGTGCAAAGTTACTCTGAGTTTGGAATGCATAAAGAGGGCAAAGTGCCTCTGGGCATATGCAAAGAACCCTCTGAGTTGGAAATGCACAGAGAAGACAAGGTGCCTCTGGGCATGTGCAAAGTATCTCTGAGTGAGGAAAATGTAAAGAGGACTCAGTGTCTCTTGTGCATGTGCAAAGTACCAGTGAGTTCGGAATGTGTAAAAAAAGACCTACAAGCATGTAGAGTGCAGAGTGCCTCGGAGCATGTGTAAAGTTCCTCTGAGTATTGTGTAGAGGTGACAGAAGGCCCATCTACACTGCCATATAATCCAAAATATCAAGGCAGCTATTCCACGTTATCTACTTTCAACTGGATTATATGAGTCTACACTGCCAGAAAATCCAGTTCTAAGCAGATCATCTGGATTTTATATAGTTGTGTAGAAAGGGCCAGAGTGCTTCTGAACATGTGCAAAGTACTGCTGAGTTAGGAAGGCGTAAAGAGGACCTCTGAGCACATGCAAAGTACCTCTCAGTTAGGAATGTGTAAAACAGCATGCCTTTGAGCATGTGCAAAGTATTTTTGGTTTAAGAACATGTAAAAGTGAGCAGAGTGCCTCTGAGCATGTGCAGAGTATACGAGCACAGGAGGTGTAAAGAGAATGTCTGAGTTAGGAATGTGTCAAGGGGATCTCTGAGAATGTGCCAAGTATCTCTGAGTTAGGGACAGGGTACCTCTGAGCATGAGCAGAAAGCACTTCAGTCCACAGTGAGGATTGGTGACTTTCCCCATCAATGGGATTAGGGAGCATGGTTTTGAGGGTATGTTCAATACACCTCTTGAATCATTGTTATCTGGCGCTGTCGAAATGCAGGAGTATCATTGTGGGTTTTCTTCTTCCCATTTCTGGCATGAGACACAAAATCCCTCATTTTGCAAAAGGGTTCTTTCTTCAAAAGAAACGCCTCTCAGCCTGCCAGCTCCCAATTCTAGTGTTACCAGCCTCTCTTTTTTCTTCCTGGATCTGGTGGCTGGTGTCTAGTGCCAAGTGTGTAGCATGGTTGTGGTCAATGATGGTTAATGATGGGGACACTCCACACATGCTCAGAATAACTTTTGAACATCTTCCTGCCTTATAGGGAATGTGAATCCAAAGTGAAGAGCTTTGCTAGGGATCAGGAGTGATTTGAAAGAAGCCTCTTGGGGTGCATCTACACTGTGAATTTGAGGCAGCTTGACTCCACTTAGTTTTACAAGGTCTTTAGCCTTCTCTGCTAAAGAGTGCTGGTGACCCACCAAACTACAACCCCCATAATTCCATAGCATTGAGCCATAGCAGTCAAACTGCATTAATTAGAATGGATAACCTGGTGGAGGGAAGGCTCCTCCTGATCTAGTTTTCCTCCACCTTTCCCACCACGTCCTCCTTCTGTTTGTTTTGTTCTGCTTCTTCGTTCTGTTCCACTTCTTTTTGTGGCATGCTTTTCAAAAATTTGCATGAATTTGGTAATCAAATTACTCTTAATTCATTCATTGTTGACTCCATTGCCTCCAGGTTTTTGCTGTTTTTTAGTGGAGCCAAATCAAATCTTACCCGCACACACAGTGCTCCTTCTGCCACTCACCATCTACAGCACATGCTGGGAACTATTTGGCAAACTTACTCTTTTTGGACCACATCTCCCACTGGTTGGGGGATTATGGAAGTTGTCCACAATGTTGATTGTCCAAGCTGAGCTGGGCTAATTGGCGGAGTCCCAAATGAAATCTGAAACAAACCAAGGATGCATCTACACTAGGCATAGGCAAACTTTGGCCTTCCAGGTGTTTTGGACTCCAACTCCCAAAATTCCTAATAGCCGAATTGTGAGAGTTGAAGTCCAATACACCTGGAGGGCCGAAGTTTGCCCATGCCTGATCTACACTGTCGAATGAATACAGTTTGACACCACTTTAACTGCCAAGGCTCAATTCTGTGGCATTATGGGAGTTGTAGTTTGATGAGACACCAGGACCCTTCAGCAGAAACTTGAGACTTGCAACACTACAACTCCCATGATTCTACAACAACGATCTGTTACAGTTAAAGTGGTGCCAAACTGCATTGTTTTACAGTGTAGATATGCAAATCTACCAGAAAAAAGTGCTCTGACACCTTAACAACTAACAGGATTTGTTTGGCACAGATTTTCTCAGACCGCAGCCTGCCTTCTGTGTCCAATGAAATGGGCCTCAGTCCAGGAAAGTCTCTGCCAAACATTACGTTTTGAAAGTGGCACAACAGTTCATTGCTTTTGTTACAACAGCCTAAGTTAACACACACACACATACACACAAATATTGGAGTATAAGAGTCAAGAGCAATGGCTTAATGTCACATTAATTAGGGAAATTGGTATCTTACTGTTACATTGGTAAAAAAAATAAATCAGAATTTCCCTTTTAAAAATCCGTTTCCTGAGTTTGTGCACATTGAAATGAAAGAAGAGATGCTTCTGTGCATTCATCTCATTTGCTCTTCATGAAGTAACTGAGGGTGCATCTACACTGTAGAATTAAGTCAGTTTGGCATCACTTTAACTGCTATGGCTCCTTGCTATTGAATCCTGGGAGTTGCAATTTTACAAGGTGTTTAGCCTTTTCTGCCAAAGGGTGTTGATCCTTTTCCAAATTACAGGTCCAACAATTCCATAGCACTGAGCCATGGCAATCAAAGTGATGTCAGACTACTTGAAGTGTAGATGCATCTTGAATTTGGGAATGGCAAGATGACCATACAGATAATACAGGTAGATAGTTGGATTCTCTGGCAGTGCTGTTGCTGTTATTGTTGTTATTGTTATTATTGTATAAATAACTGAAATAATAAATTGTTATTATCATTATTACCCCCCCCCCCCCCACAAATTGGTACTCAGAATGTCCTAATGTGTCTATTGTGTGACTTTTAGGAAAGTCTGTGAAGGTGTTCATGAGAATCCTGGAAAGCTATTGATTTGCAATAGCAGAATATAGTGTGCATAATTCTATCTAATGGTAATAGCTTATTATTATTATTATTATTATTATTATTTAATAAACTGACTTTGCTGACTTTATTGACTTTGCTCAATAAACCCAGTTAGTGTTGCATTGTTGATGTGAAATAGTTGTGGCTGGATGAATTCCTTCCATGGACGATTATTGGCAATCTTATATAATGTACTAGCAGTCCCCTGCCACGCGTTGCTGCGGCCCAGTCTGGTGGTCTGGAAAATAAAGTAATGAATAAATATATGTAATGTCTTTATGCTTGTAAGTAAACAGTATTTCTTGCTATTTCTTTGTCAGTGTTGATGTGGAGATCGTCTGCTTTGCCTACTCTGGAACATGCAACATATCATTGTCCTTCTTTAGGGGTCCTTTTCAAATCTGTCATTAACATGTCAACAATGCCCACTGGGATTGTGGCGCAGGTGGCTGAGTGTCAGCTGCATTAAGATCACTCTGACCAAAAGGTCATGAGTTCGAAGCCAGCCCAGGTTGGAGTGGGTTTCCAAACAATTGTGTAGCCTGTTGTCGACCTTTGCAACCCGAAAGACAGTTGCATCTGTCAAATAGAAAATTAGGTACCACCTTAAAGTGTGGGGAGGCTAAGTTAACTAATTTATGAGGCCATAAAAAAAAAAAAGACTCCAACAAGCACTCCAGCAAAAAGCATGCGGGGAATGCGGAAGTACTTCATCAGTGTCGCAGATGGACGATGAAAGCGACAGCTCCCCTGGCGGCCAGAAAAAGTTAAATAGCCTCTGTTTATGTCTGTATATGATGTATGGCAAAATTGGCATTGAATGTTTGTCATATATGTGTACACTGTAATCCGCCCTGAGTCCCCTGCGGGGTGAGAAGGGCGGAATATAAAAGCTGTAAATAAATAAATATAAATAAGTGTGTGTGTGTGTGTGTGTGTGGGTGTGTGAATCATATATATTTATCTATATCTATGGCTGGATGGCTCTTTTTCAGGAGGGCTTTATGTTTTCTTGCCCTGGTGAAGGGAGTTGGACTGGATGGCCTAAAGGCAACATTTCTCAACCTGGGGTTTGGGACCCCTGGGGGGCGGGTTGCGAGGGGGTGTCAGAAGGCTCACCAAAGACCACCAGAAAACAGTATTTTCTGGTGGTCATGAGGGTTCTGTGTGGGAAGTTTGGCCTAATTCT